GGTGAAAGCCACTTCCAGGGGCTGCATCACCATCATAGGTAAGGGGTCCTGCACAAACCTAATACTAATGTGACCTGGCAGAGTCTAATCAGAGGAAGGTAGAAGGGAGATGGTTAGCTTTTTCTGGGTTTCTTGGCTCTGGGTAAATCTTGAGGGCTTAAATGGGTGAACAGTTTGTGGAAGAGCCTCTTGATGAGATGGAGTTGGGAGTTCATTAGCTACTTTCTGGGTTGAGGTATACACTGCTTTATAGTTGTGGAGTCAATCCTCTTTTTTTTTTTTTTTCCTTTTCTCTCCTTTCTTTCTTTACCTGGCCTTCATTCAATAGGTGGTGGAGACACTGCCACATGCTGTGCCAAATGGAATACAGAGGATAAAGTCAGCCATGTGAGCACTGGGGGTGGTGCCAGTTTAGAGCTCCTGGAAGGTGAGGTTCTTTCCTGTTTTTCAGCTTATTTGGAGGCAGGGTGAGGACTGCACACTGAGAAGTGGGTAAAATGGAGTGGAGACTTAGAAGGGAGTATTATGATTAGCTGGGCAGTACAAATGGAAGAACATCAAATAAATCCCCCAAATTTGAGGTGGGGGAGGGGTACATAGGAACTGTTCTCAAATATAGCATGTTCTAGTTGACCTGGGACCCAAAATGCAGGTGTTCACAAACTCCTGGACATACATTCTAAAGAATGTATTGGGAAGAGAGAATGGGGCAGATCTGGCTTAGTGGGCCCTATAGTAATGCTGTTTATGTGTGTGTGCTCTCTCAAAAACAGGTAAAGTCCTTCCTGGGGTGGATGCGCTCAGCAGTGTTTAGTATTTTCCTGCCTTTTGGTTCCTGTGCACAGCCCCTAAGCCAACTTAGTGTTTTCTGCATCTCCACTTGGCATTACCTAAAACCTTTCCCCCACGTCAAGATTCAGCTAGTGGCCAAGAGATGCAGCACCAGGAACCCTTAAACAGTTGCACAGCATCTTAGCTCATCTTTACTGCACCTGGGATTTGCCTACATTCTTCAAGGTCCCATTTAAATGTCTTAGTGACTAAACCACTGTGCATTCTAGAGTGCATCTATTTATATTTTGATTGTTAAAGTGAGCTGTATTAGCTTAGTTCTCTTTTTGATGTAGCTTATTCCTATTAGTTTTGTCACTGTTCACTACTCAGCATTGAAACAAGATGAAATTCCAGTCATAGGGAGTTGCTGATGATGTTAAACAAACAATAAAAGTGTCCATTGAAACTGAGATTTTTTTCCTGTCCTACTTTGTTAGGAAGGTTGAGAATAGTCTTGAGAAAGGGATCAAATATCTACATTTCTAAATGTAAGGAATGGGGTGGCAGCAGTGTCTGTGTTGGGGGGATTAGATAAATGTTTATTCTTTATTGAAGGCAGACATTGTGCTAATGCTTTATTTTAAATTTTTTATTAAGTTAGGCATCATAATTTTAAAAAATTAAGGCTTATAACAAAACAACAAATAAGCTCCAGCTCATTCCTCACATTCCCCAAGGTGACCACTGTTTTTCTGGTATTTACTTACCTTTATGTTTCTAAGTAATATACTGTTAGCTTCTTTTTTTTTTTTTTCAAAAACCATATCTATTAATGGAAGATTTAACTCTTAATAGCCTCTAACTCCTACATTTGACACTTCTACAATCTACACTTCTAATTCCTACATTCTTCCAGTAAGTTTTGTTATAATTATAGACTAAATCAAAAGCTTACATTAAGATTATAAATAAATACTGTTCACAGTTGAACTCTGAGGTATGCTATATTTACTTGTGTAATTTTTATTTGGAGGTAGTAATTTCTTTTTGGCGGTAATGTGGCTTGAACTCAGGGCTTTACACCTTCTGGCAAGAGCTCTACCACTTGAGCTACGCCTCTAGCCCTTTTTAGTGTTGCTTATTTTCAAGATAGGATCTGGCGAACTATTTGCCTGGGCTGACTTCAAACCGTGATCCTCCTGATCTCTGCCTCCCGAGTAGCTAGGATTATGGGTGTGAGCTACCAGCGCCTGGCTGGAGTTAGTAATTTTTTTAAAAAATCATTTTCTATGTACCTGTTACTGATTCATTCCTGAATGTGCCAGAATGTCAGTGTTTCAATATATTCAAACATATTAGACAGTCTATTAATTTTTTTTGGTCTCATACTTGCTAGGCAGGCACTCTACCACTGGAGCCATACTTCCAGTCTCTTTTTGCTTTAGTTATTTTTCAGGTATAGTCTCACGTTTTTGCCAGGGGCAGCCACAGACTGCAGTCCTTCTCATGTAGCTGGGATGACAGGCATGCATGTTGATTTGAGTTGGAGTCTTGTAACTTTGCCTAGACTGGCCTCAAACCACTGTCCTCCTAATTTCTGCCTCCCAGGTAGCTGAGATTATAGGCATGAAACAACAGTACTCAGTTTAGATTTTTTTTTTTTTTTGAGATAGTAGAGTTTGAACTCTGAGCCCAGTGCTTGCTAAGCCTGTATGTTTTTACTGGAGGCATCCCTGAAGTCCTTGGTACTTTCCCAGTTTGTACTGGCTGCTTTCTAGATTTGCTGTACAGTTGTTGCTCTGGGATTTCCTGTAACCCTCTGTGGAATTGCTTTTACCTTCTGTGATCACTTTTCCTCTTGTTTATTTTCTTTTTTATGGAAGACTCCTTTTTACCAACTTCCTGAGAAAGATGTCCCAGGAGGCAAGATCTTTAAGGCCTTCTAGGTCTGAAATGTCTTTATTGAGTTCTTATACTTCATTGTTATAATGCTACCCCTTTGAATTTGTGGGGGATTGGTTCCAGGCACACCTCAAGTACCAAAATCTGTTAATGCTCAAGTACCTTGTATAAAATGGGGTAGTTATTTGCATTTAATCTAGTACATCCTCCTGCAGCCTTTTAAATCATCTCTTAAATAACTTTGCTGTTACACTTTATGTTGTTTGGGGAATAATGATACAAAAGTATGTATATATCCAACTCAGATCCAAGTTTTTGTCTAGTATTTTTAACCCTTACATATGGAGGTCAGGCTGTATATAGAATTTTAAAGTAAATATCAGTTTATCAGACTTGAAAGCATTGTTTCATTATCACTGTTGAGTCTAATGGTATTCTGATTCTATTATAATTACAATTTTCCCTATGCCTTTCCTATCATTTTAATGGAATTTGGGAGAGAGCACAGGTAAACAGAATTTAAAAAGTCCATGTTTCACCAAAAATTCAGTGCTGGGTTTTTTATATGCAAGATATGTATTATACCTTTGTTGATGAAGAGATAATTAAAAACTCTTGGACAGGCTCACAGAGCTAGTAACAGGAGAGATTGTAGGCTAGGTTTGGCTCCAAAGGCTAATACTTTTTCATTGTGCCCTTCTTCCTGATATGATGCTCCAGACTAGGATTTTTTTTTAACTCTGGAGAGACCAACAAAAGAAAATTTTGGTGGTTGCTTTAAATGAAGATTTTGAAAGTTCAAGTTTTTGTTAATTCATTTGTATTTTAGTTAATACTCTTCCACACATTAGCAGTTAGTTTTAAAATGAACCATGTTTCTGCACACCTCTAAGAGTAGTCCTTGCCCCTAGTTTGAGCAGCAGGAATTCAAGTCCAATCTTTTTTTTTTCCCTTTGGTGGGATCAAGGTTAAAAATTAGGGCCTTGCCCTTTGAAAGCTGGTGCTCTACTGCTTGACCCACATCTCCAGCCTCTAGTTCAGTCAGTCTTTTTTGCAGATGAGGTCCAGAGATGCTACCTGTAGATGCAGCAATTTAACATCACAACTGGACTAGCAAACTGATGACTTTTTTTGTTCTGTGTATTACCTTTTCTCAATATTTCTTTGTTACTTCAATTACACACAGAAATTAAAATGTACAATAAAAATCTGTACACCCAGTACCTAGCCTATAATTGCCAACATCATCCATCAGACCCTGATTGTACCTGTTTAAGTACTTTCTGTTGCTACTTTGAGGATCTCCCCCGCCACATGTTTTAAACAGCTTGGTGATCAGCCAAGTATTTGAGTGCCTACTATGTGCTTAGGACACAATGGAGGGAATAGTATTTATGTCATGAAGGAATTTACAACATAGTCAAGGAAGGTAGTTGGTAATGAATAACTTCTGAGCACATCAACTATATAGGAATGTGCTTCCTGATTTAATATAGAATAATAAACTATTGATTAAATTTGAATCTATATGTGAGCTTGTGTTTCCTGCTTTCCTTTTTCACATCCTAAATTTCCCTCCAACATAGGGGTTTGCATGTGATCAAAAAGGGATGCACAGTGAGATGACACTTTTGTTACCTTCGTCTGATTTCCCTCCCCAGAGGCAAACCTTCCTTAAGACTAGTTTTCTTCATCCTAAAACTACTTAAGGCATGTAAAGAACATATCCATGTATGTATGTATTTATATATCAGAAATGGTGGCATATTATACACAGTGTTCCATACCTGCTGCTCTGATTGTTATTTTGTAGCCTACCACATATTTTTCTTCCCTTTGCATTCCTCAGACCATGGTGTGCATCAATCTTCCACCCTCCCTTCCTGCTGGTTGTATTACTTTATTCATATCCAAATCATAAATATTTCCTACTTGTTGAGAGTAAGAACTGCTTTTACTCATTCTTGAAGCTAGATTTATCTAGAAGTAATTAGGGAAGGGAATTCTGCAAGATAAATCAGTCCTTATTTGAAAGGGCACACTATCCACTGACTGTTAATGCTCAGACTGTAACCCCAATTATATGTACAATTTCCCACCAAAGACAGCATGTTGTTTTTAAAATTTAAACACATATTCTTTTTCATTTTGCTTTACTGTGAATCATGCCAGTTCCAAATAAAAGCAAACAATTCCCTGATGTATGATCAATTCATTCACTAAACAGATTTTTGGGGTTTAAACTCAGGGCTTCATGCTTACAAAGTAGGTGCTCTACTGCTTGAGCCACACCTCTAGTCCATTTTTTTGCTTTTGGAGATGAGGTCTCAAACCATTTCCCCGGGCTGGCCTCAAACTGCTATGCTCCTGATCTCAGCCTCCCAAGTAGCTAGTATTTTAGGCATGAATCACCAGCACCCAGCTAGATCTTAATTGCTTTCTGGCCCTCAGGAATACTATGCCTTATATACCCTCCTTGAACAAGAAGTGAAAGACACTGATAAGCTTACACTTTTATTAATAACCTTGAAACAAATACATTAATTCCTTATATAGCATTTTACCATTTTGAAATAACTTTCACATATACCAATTAAACCCTCACAACATCCCTGTGAGGTAGGCAGGGTGTTATTTTCCTATCACTAGTGAGGAGAACAAGGCTCAGAGGTGAAGTAAGGTCACACAGCTGGTAAATGATGGAGCCAGGATTAGAACCTAGGCCTTCTGATATGGTGCCTCCCTGAGAACATTCAAGTAATGATATCCATGCTATATAATGCACATTTCTCCTATGATATTCATCAGATCTGTTTGTATAAAATTTTAAATCACCTTTCCCTAACATTCCTGAACATTCAAACTAATGAGACATTTCTGTCCTGTTACTGGACTGTTTCTCAGATGCATCAAGCACCATCTTAAGATGAAACTTATGATTTAAGTTTTGAGGATCCTTGGCTACAAATTCTAAATTACGAAGATTTTTTTAGAAAACTACTTAAATACTTAAGTATGTCAAGTATGTGAACTTACTTAAACCAAAAGTTTTGCAATCTTATTCCTAATAAGACTTTTAGATGTGTATAAATGGAAAACAGGGGAAGGTGTTTAGCAACATTACTGGGAAACCTATGAAAAGTACACCTAAACATAGTCACATGCCACTAGTTTTTTTTCCTTATTGGCATCACCAAAGAAGGAGAAATATTAAGAGTCTACTTTCAGGTTTGATTCCATTTTATGTATTGCATCCTCATCAACAAGCTAAAACATGATCTGAATTTTATAGCAATAGGAGGGGTCAAGCAGTAGTAAGCAAAGCATACAAGCATGTGGTAAGAAAATACTTGCTCTTCAGTGGTTCTGTTTAGGTCCAGTGTAAATTACTTACCAAGGCAGATTTTAAGCTATAGCATCTCAAATAAATTTAAAAATGTGAAATATGTTGGAGTTACCAAGTTGTCATACAGTGAATGTAACTGATCCCAAACTACCTGTCAAAAGCAGAGTAAAGCTTAACAGGCAAGAAAGGCAGTACTGTGGCATGGAGTGAAAAATTAAGAGCAAATGGAAACTTGAACCTTCAGGTTCCAGTGAACCACAGAACATCAGCGTATTTTTTAAAAATATGAAAATGATGCTGAGCTGTATATCAGAAATGGTATTTTAAAGATTCCAGTTACGGTCTTTAAAACTTATGGGCAATAGGGAGAAATTTACGACTATGGAGGGTACAGAAAAACGTTATCTAGAAAGAGTTGATGTAAGAAGTTTGGGAAGACCAAGAAACAAATACATTCAAAATGGGTTTAGAACTTCTTTAAAGCCATTATTTCAAAAAATGTTTCCTAAATTGAGAGATTTGGTCAAAAAAGTCAGTGACAACAAAACTATTTTACCTTACAAAAGAATTTAAATAAGAATTTAAATGTAAGTAACATTAGCTCACTGACTAGGATGTAGAAACTGAAACTTAGGTGCTATTGTCAGTGATACATAACAGAAAACTTTCCCCAAATAGAACTGCCATTGGTAGGACTCAGCTTAATGAAACTATTAAGAAGTAAGTACTTAAATTTTGTGTTTGAAAGCATAATAAAAAAAAACCACTTGTACTCTTTAAACAAATTAAATTTTAACTAATGTGAAAAATACTGCAACTACATTTAAGTTTTCTATGACAAAACTTAAGAAAACCTAGAATGTTCTAGTACAGTATATGGGCTCAAAACTACACTTTTTAAATGCATCTAGACTTAAGACTATATTTCTTACATAGTATCATTGTCATCATCATCTTCATGTTTTCTCTTCAGAGGGTTTGATTCATTGGCTGTGTTCTGTGATGAAACCATGTTGGTGGTAATAAGAATATTTTTGGGCCCAATCATTGAAGGATTAATCAGAACATTTTGCACTGCAGTTGTCACAGGAACTATAAATAGAAGAAGGCCCCCACAGGTTATGAATCCACCCAGATTCATAGTCAAAAGTATACAACAAAGCTGACTAATTTGTGGGAAATTTCAATAGTGTGGAGTACAACTGTATAATAGAAGAAACACAGGTAATTATATTTCACTAAAAGTAGAATTAAAATTCTGAAAATATTTTAAAATTATTTTTAATTGGTAAATATTTATGATATTTATAGGGCACACTGATGTTTTAATCTATGTGTACATAAAGATTAGATCTACCTAAATATATCTAAGCAAGGTTAAAAAGTTTTGTTATACTTTAACTACCTGAAATTTCAGTTAGTATTTCCGCATCATGGAACATACTAAAGGCACATGGTTAGGGCCAGGAGTCATGCTTCTCTTATAAGCCAGTATTTTATATAAATTATTTATCATATGCAGGTAACATTTTCAAAAGATGTGACATCTAAACATATGCATTAGAATAAACTATGCCATACCAGAATTCTTGTATTATTCCAACCATATCTCTCTCCTATGAAGTGAATAAAGGTATGAATTTCACTTGAATTTACATTTATATTCTGGATTTTACACACACACACACACACCACTAAGTTGTATCATTTTCTTGAGCTTTTACCTTAAGTGCTTTTTCCTGAGATAGTTTGTGAGCCCTAACTTTTTAATTAATTGTACTTGAGGATCTGAAGAGCACACTGAATGCTGTTCCCTTCCCTCTGACAATGTTACATATATATAAAATTTCATGCAATTTTAGAGGACTCAGACACTCTATGAAGAACCTTGAATTGCAGCATTACTACCACTTCCTGTTATATTAAAACAATTTAACTCTTGGCATAGAAACAAACTGTTTTATGATTGCAAATTATTCGTGAATTCTGCTCCCCCCCCCCGCCCACCAATCATGTTACCTGGTTTGACAGGTGTGGACTGAGAAGGCGGAATCTGCACCGTAAATCTTTGGTTTGTCACTGACACTGGAGTTGCAACTTTATTTGGGACAGAGACTGTTTGTGGGGTTGCTGTAGTTATAATTAACAGACTATGTTAGTTACATGACTGATTATACAGATTTGTATTTTATACTCCCTTAGCTTACCAGAAACTACATTCAAAACACAGGTCTAAGGTGAGAAAGCATCATTAAAAATAAGAGCAAAGTAATGTTTTAAAAAGTTTATAAGCTTGTTTAGATGCTACAAAACTGCATTGTTAGTGGTAGAGCACTTGTCTTAGCATACATGAGGCCTTGGGTTCCTTCCCTGGGGTCACAAAAAACCCCAAACACTTCCCCCAGAAAAATTCAGTACAGTATAGTAGTAAAAAATGTAGGTTCTGGAGCCTACTTGTTTGAGTTTGAATCTAGGCTCTATCACCTGCTAACTAGGTTTCCTTGAGCAAGTTATTTAATCTTGTGCCTCAGTTTGTCATTTGTACAGTGGGGACAATTGTACCCATTTCATAAAATTCTTTTGAGAATTAAGCAAAATAACCCATATGAAGCTCTTCAACCATCCAGTATGTAGTAAGCACTGAATTTTAGTTAAATGAAGCCATGAATTTGAGAAATACTAGAATAAAGATTCAAGTGACCTTAGGTGTCACTTTTAATGTCTTTCACTTGCTGAGAATTAGATGTTTACTATGCCCAAAAAGCTAAAACAACATGCACCTAACAAAAAGAAGACAATTGAATGTTAGGTTCCCAGGCAGTCAGGAAAACCTTACTCCTTTTCTAATGTTCAGAAAATTTTTAGCAGAAAGGGATAAACTAATCCAAACCACTTATCATTCATATCTACCCCTTATTTGTTTATTTCTGGAGATTTACTTGCTAGGGATGGACCCAGGGCCTTGTACATGCTATACAAGCACTATAATTGAGCTGTACTCCCAGCCCCTAGCCAAAAGTACACCTAAAGTAACAATCCTGTTTTATAAAACCTTTCTTGATTTGCACATTTAGGCGTCTTGCCTTCTGCCTCAGAAATTCCCTTAACAATGTCATAGGAGTCTTATTATTAGTGTCTGATCTCATTCACTACCTTACAAGCCTTGCTATTCAATAAATGTTTGCTTAATGAATGAATTTTGCAAGTATAGCTATTTTGATAGCTATACCGACACTGCCCTTTCAAAAAAATTTTATGGAAATGTGTTTCCAGTTTTTCCCTTGGGGATGTAGGCTTTTCATACATCCCACTGCTCTGGAACCAGCAGTCCACCAGGGACAGAATTGGTAAAGACTATAACAAGCACCATCATTTCTACAGACAGGAAGAAAGTGGAAAGAGGCCCAGATACCTGGTTCCAGTGCTTTTTTTTTCCAAACCAGAAGGTGAGACCTTACTGTAATATAATCTTTATTCCTAGGCAAGTTTTTCCATGTGTTAAGGAAATTAAGCAATATGAAATTCAGGGATGGGGTATGGCTCAAATGGTAGAGTGCTTTCCTAGCAAGTGTGAGGCCCTGAGTTCAATTCCCCAGTACCACCAAAAAAATAAAAAATTCACAGTAGGTAGATTTTTTTTGGCTATGTAAGGAATTGTTAAAACATTTAAATAAGTATGTAGTTTATACTTTAAAATTGAACAGAATAGATTTTTGGGTCTTAAGGTTCATAAAGCTAATTTTAAGTTTTTTATGTTTAAAATTCACATCTTTAATGGCAATTTTTGGTAGCACCCTCACATTCTAGATTTTTAAAATCTCTAAAGCATGTACAAGTGACTAGGAATAAAAATCAAATGATAACTGAAATTGGCTAACTTGTCTAACACATGTAACTGATTACCACTGCCTAGGGGTTTAAAAAATTGGTATTATTATGCACAGTGGTATACACCTATAGTCCCAGCTATTCAGGAGGCAGAGGTGGGAGGATCATTGAGTCCAGAAGTTCAAGACCAGCCTGAGCAACATAGTGAGACCTCCATCCCCCCCACCCAAAAAAAAAAAACCACCCAAACAAAACTGGTATTCATTTAAGTAATGTGACTCTACAGATAAGCAGCATATGATCAAAAAGTATTACAGGTTGTATAACTTTCTGTCCACAAAGGTCATACACAGTTAACAAGGGGTGTACACCTAATTCTCATACTAAGCTGGTTTTAAAATGCTAAAACGGGTGGAGTGTGGTGGATCATATCTGTAATCCCAGCTACTTGGGAGGCAGGGATGGATCATGGTTCGAGACCAGCCCAGGAAAAAAGACCCCTATTTCAGCCAATAAAATTGGGCATGGTGGCGTGTGCTTGTCATCCCAGCTATACATGAGGCATAAATAGGAGGTTTGTGGTCCAGGCTGGCCCGGGCAAAAACATGAAATCCTATCTGAAAAATAACTAAAGCAAAAAAGGGCTGAGGGCATGGCTCAGGCCCCAGTACTGTCAAAAATGCTGAAATATAAATTTATATTCTGAGTATATGAAGAGGTGGTTCACATCTCAAAAAAAAAAAAATGCTAGCCAGGCATGGTGGCAACATGCCTGTAATCCAAGCACTTGGGAAGCTAAGGCAGGAGGATCATGCAATTGAGGCCAGCCTGGCCTATACAGTGAGAACCTATCTCAAAAAAAATCAGATGCTGCTTATACTTGAGGTATATGACAGCTACAAGACTTAAGTTATAAGCACTGAGAACCATGAAATTAATACTAATGAAAGAGAACAGGTTTTTTTTCTGAAAAATACTTTTGATAAGAAAGCCAGCAGGAACATATGAAAAAAAAATCAGAAAACCTAATTAAATTATTTGTTTTCCTTATCTAAAGAACATGAAAAATAATTAAATACAGTTTTCTAAATACCATTCCCCACCAAAACGGACCAGGGTTCTTTGGAGAAGTGGTTGATTCTAAGTCTGAGAAAAATATAACATGGGCTTGTTAACACTGGTCAGAAAGCAAGAAATGTGCATGATATGATGGAGATATATCAAAAAGGATAAAGGGGCTGGCAGAATGGCTCAAGTGGTAGAGTACCTGCATAGCAAGCGTAAGGCCCTGAGTTCAAACTCCAGTACTGCCAAAACAAAGAGAGAAGGGTATAGGACACAGCTTGATAGGGCTCTCACTGACTGATAGAGGACAATCAGTACTATTTTCTTTGTTGAGATGGAGTCTCCATGTTTCCCAGGCTGGTGTCTATACTATGTTTTTAAAAGGCTAGTATTAAAACAACTGTTTTTTGTACATATTTAACTTCTTTCAACTGTATCCAATTTATTGAGAAATTTCCTTAAATTTTGATTGTAAGTAGGCTTTTGCCATGTGTTTGTTAACTTCATTTGTACAGAAGATGGAAACAACACAGTTAAGAGTAAATTCCTGTTTCTGCTATCATAGTTTGTATCAACAATAGTGTTAGGTAATGCCAAATTTTATACCCATTTGAGATCAGACAGTCCTTGTGGCTTTCTCATTTTCAAATGTGGTTAAGAGGTATGTTTATAGTTTTACTAGAGAATGAATAAAATTATCAATGGCAACACACATACAGGAATTTCTAACTCGCATTTTGGCTTGGGTTATAGTTAAAAAACAAGTGGTGAGGCACTTTACCAGCCAGAAAAGTCATTTCTACATTTTACTTACCTATAGTAGGAGTGGTAGGTCTGCTACTAACAGCACCAACACTTAACCGTGGAACTAGTCTTCCTTGGTTAGGTCCCTAGGAGATTTAAAAAGAAGTTAATTTCAATTTTAAAATTAGATACCCAAACTTAACCAAGAATGAAAATTACAATTGATGTTAATTATTAGTGGATAATCCATGGCTATAATGTCTTGCTTTTGCTCTGTGTTTTAAATCCAATATTTAAAGTAGAGTTTTCATAAACATACATTTATGTTTCTATATAAACACAGATATGATCATATCTATCTATCTAATGCTGTGTAGTATTTAAGGTAGAGTTACTTGAATGGGGATAACAGCTTACTTCTTTGTAATTTATAATATTTATTGTCTTTGCTCAAAAAGTAATAAAACTGTCTTCTAGTAAAATTTCAGAAAAGAAAGACAGCCCAATGTGGGGAGAACTTTTTTTAGTGGCGATAGTGTCTTAAGGTCATATTTCAGAAAACAGGCCCAATTCCTGGTGATATATCATTTGCTATGTTAGCAAATCTCACTAAAACACTATAGTATAGTTGAAAAATTTGGAGTTCCCAGGTTTAGGAATCAGTTCTAGCTCTGCGAATAACCCCATAAATGAGTTCAGGCTCAGTTTCCTGATGAGAAAAGTATAAACTGTGTTAGATGAAAACTAAATATCCTTCTAGTTCTTAAAATTAAATCTAGTAAATTATCTTAACCTTAAATGTACTGTGGTATGTACAAGAATTTGCTTTTGTACAAAATCTCCTATCATCCTTTGTAAAACAAAATTAACTAAAAATTCTTAACTTTTTTTTTTTTTGCCATACTGGAGTTTCAATTCAGGGCCTTGCACTTACTAGGCAGGTGCTCTACCACTTAAGCCATGGCTCCAGCCCTAAAATTCTTACCTTTTTAATTAAGGACTTCAGTCTATAATTTGGAGCTGTTAAGCAGTATCTATCAGGTGGTAGTCTAGGTCCTGCATATGGCTTAATCAGTGGCAAAGGGGTTTGATTTTTCTGCCTTGCAATATCCAGCAGAAACTAAAAGAAAAAAATCCTTATTAGAAATACAGTTTAAAAACTGTAATTAAAATAACTTAAATAAATGTTTGCTCACATCTCTCGGGGGCGGAGAGGTAAAAGACTGGTCAGCACGACACTGGATTGCCAGTCTCACGTCATCTGCATCAACATTAGGTTTCTTAGCATGGCTTGAATAAATCTTTGCATCATCCAGAATTGTAGTAACATATCCTTTAAGAACAAAATTTTTTTTCTTAAACATGTGAAAAAGTTTAATATCTATATATCTATATAGATATAATCTTTGTCTTAAAAGGTTCCTCTAATTTCTGGAAGGTTTATGAATTTAGGTTTTAATGGCTACCTATCCTATTCACATGATATATTTAAAAGAGGATTACAATATAAACACTGCTGTTCTCTAGCTTGAGCTCCTTTTTAGCGCTTTAGTTATTGCTACATTAAAAACTTAATATGATTTTGCTGAAAATATTACAATAAATGCTCTTTTCAAATTCACAAGTTCAGCAAGTTTTTGGTGTTAACTTACGGAAAGCAAATTCCAACATTTGATTTATAACCCTTGGTTCATACTCTGTGATTCCCATGTCCTTCAGGATCTGTGCCATCACCTGTGGATTCAAGTAAAAATGCCAGATTTTTAACGTAGGTATTGGAAATCAAGGCTAGAGAGGGTGGTATGTGTATGACAGAAGCTATCCCTCTTGTCTCTGCACTCCAAACTCCTGCTTCTTCCTGTGCTCCCAAGGGAGTGTCAATGATCACACAAAATCCGTCACATGCTCATGCGGAAAACTTTTTTGGGGCAGGGATGGGGGCAAAAACAGAAGGAAAAAGGCCTGGGTTGGCTCTCCCAGCAGAGGTAGGGGTGGCTCCAGCTGGTTGTCATTTTCGGATGTGGCGGTGGGGGAAGCTAGCTAGCATCAGAACCCTGGACGCAGAGTCAGGGCTCACGGACGGTGCGAGATGAGGAGGGGACCCAATGCCCAGGAGACAAAGCCGGGGGCTTGTTCGGCGCGCACTCGGTGGGACCACCACCCTCCGGAGGGGCTCCGGGAGAGCACCCCGGGAGCCAGGGCGAACCCCCCTCGTCCTCTCCTCCAGGCTGTGTGTGCTGGGCCGATAATGGAGCGCGAGTTCCCCTCAGACCCTCAGTCTGGGCCTCTCTCGCAGGTCCCTGGTCGCGCCGGGCATCGTGCCCCACCTGGCATCTTTCGCACTTACCAAGGCATCTCTCGGAGCGTTCTTGGGAGGCGCCATCTTGCCCGACTCCATATTCTCCTGGCTGTCGTCATCCGTGGAGAGCAAGCAGCTCGCGGACTCCTCGCTCAGGCTCCGCCCCTGCGGGCGGAAGGCGGGGTCATGCTCTGGCCGCTCCGGAGCCGGCTGCTTGCAGGAACCCTGCCGGGGGTAAATGACCCAGAAAAGTCGCGAAACTCGTCCTAAAGTTGTTCCCTGCGAGGACACCGAATGGCTGCCCTCATCTTTGCTGGGGTCCCTCCCCAAAGCCCTTGTTAACACCCCAGAATTTTCCTGAAGAGGCCCTGCGCCTCTGCCCACTGATTCCCCAGTTACACTTAAATGTCACATTAACAACGGATACATTTCTGGTATACTATATCCCCAATATTGCACAGACGTGGCTACTTGGCCGTTCACATTGACATGGGCTTAATGGGTGTTAATTTGCTACATCTGGCGCCCCTACCCAGAAATACTAAAAGCACTTCTGCACACCAAGGACTTTGCTCTGGAAGACTGGGCAGCTCTTGTCATATTCGAAGCCCTGCCATGTGTGCCTTTTCCCGCATGGATGGAAGGTGAAACTGTTTCACCCTCTGCCACAATCCTGCTGAACGACCCCCCCCCCCGCCACTCATTTGGTCAGAGCAGCTCTGCCCTCGCTGAGCCCCCACACAGCGCTTCCTTGCCCCCCCATTGCCCCACCCATCGTCCTCAGAACTCGAGTGACTCTGTTGACAACTGTTCATCCAGCCCTACTTACTTAAACAAGCAAACAAACAACAGCCCCCCCCCCCCCCAAATCAGTGAACCATCTCTGAGTTAAAATCTGCCAGAGAACTGCCTTTAGTCCTCCATGTCTGAAGAAGGAACCATGGTCACCCCGGCCAGAAATGGAAGTCAGCCATGTCACCTTTTTCCCTCACAATCCGCACGTAATTAGAAGCAAGTCCTTCAGGGCGACCTCCCAAATTTACACCACGCATTTCTGGGTCTATTCAGCTCCCTCCACTGCTACGGTGCTAACAAATCCAATCCAAATAACCTTACTCAACAAGATTACGGAAACAAGCCCCCAATATGGCCTCCTGGAGTTCCCCAAACAGACGGATTTTTTAGCTAGAAGTAAAAAGTATATATACATGATTTTCTTTAAAACGCTCCAATAGCTCCCCTCACACCCACACCCACACCTTCATACTAATGTCCTGTGCTTAGTGGGCCCTTCTCTTTTGGGGAGCTGTTCACCTGATTCGGGCTTGTCAGATCTACTGACCACCACGCAGCCATCTTTGAATTTGGTGAGTTTCCCCGAGATCTACAGTATGGAGCACCTATTTTATGAGTGACTTTCCCCACGCTGATCTTACGTTTAAACTAACAATGACTACCCGCTATTTTTAATTAATCATTTTAAAATTAATTTTACAGAATTCATTTGTATTCATCTCACAAATATTTATTAAACATGATTAGGTGCACGAACACGAGAGTGGTTTTGAGATTATGCGGATTACACTTTTTCCTGAAGCCGAGTAAATTTTACCATTCTACTTTCTTTACATCTCCTGAACCCATTTTCATTCCTTACTTCCATTTATACCACTTCTGGTTCTCATTTCTCATATTTTTTAAAAACATTTTATTAGTATCTAATAATTGTAAGGGGTTTCATTGTGACAGTTCCATATATGCATACAATTACTCCGGATTGGTTCATCCCCTCTCTCCCTCTTTTCCCCCGCCCCATGATTACCCACTTTTAAATAGGTAGCATGTGTGCAGTGTATAAAAAAGGAAAAAAACTCTTCAACGTTCCAGCCACTCACTTGGTAATCACATAAAGCATCGCTGTTTATCAGGGCTTTTTTTTTTTTTCTGTGCAATTATAAATAGTAGCTTCTTTATGTGTTCTTCCAATGTACTGTACTATTACTCTTAAAGGGATCACTCTTTAGTGAGGTACCTCGGGACAAAGCTGTACTGGGTGGAAAAACTTATGCAAGAAGTAATTGCACACCTGTGTTATTAGTTGAAAATAAGTTCTTAATTAGAACTTATTTTTTGTAGTATTACTTTTCTGTTAAATGTATGCTTTCTAAATGGTAGGACTGGTTAACAATGGCAATGGATGGTAATTAGTAGGACTAACTTAACATGTGTAAAAACCCCAATATTTGCATAACTTTGTTTTTGTCAACAATTTAATTATTTTGTGAGCCAAATTGTGTGTTGTTTTTTTTCTGGCAGTTTGAACTCAGGGCTTAGAGGCAGGCACTCTACCACTCGATGTGCCTCCAGCCCCTAATTGTGTGTTTTTGATTTTTTTTTATGGCTGGGATAAACGTTTTTAAGTTTAAAAAGGCTTTTTAAAAATATTTTTTGAAAATTATTTGTCCTTTTATTACATTATTGTTGTACTGGGGTTACATTGTGACATTTACAAAAGTTCTCACAATGTATCATCATTAAATTCACCCACTCTATCATTCTCCTTTATTCCGCCTTCCCCCATTCTTGAAATAGTTTCAACAGGTCTCATTTTTCCATTTTTATACATGATTTTTTTTTATGTGACTGAGGTTTGAACTCAGGGCTATCATGCTTGCAAAGCAGACACTCTACTGCTTGAGCTACTGCACCAGCTGATCCGGTTATTTTGGAGATGGGGGGTTTTGAGAACTATTTGCCTCAGCTGGTCTCAAACTGCAATTCTCCAGATCTTGGTATCCCAAGCAGCTAGGATTACAGTCCTGAATCACTGGCACCTGGCTACTGTGTGTTCTTAACATACATAAATGTAAGACTTTTAAAAAGGAGGAATATAAATACAATAAGACAAACAGCCATCATTTATCTAAAGTTAACAAAAATAAAAATGACATTTTTCTTTGTTCCCATGGTGTAATAGGACATTATAATTTTGTTTCTTTTCCAGCAATATTTCTATGAATTGCCTGCAATTTGTGGACATTCTTCTCTTTTTTTTCTCTTTCCCTCCCTCTCTCCCTCCTTCCCCTCCTTCTTTCTTTCCTTCCCTTGCTATGTAGCCCAGGTTGACCCTGAACCCAGGATCCTCCTTCCTCCACCTCCTTTTATATAGTGGTAAAACAATACAGTGAAATGTAATATTCACTTTGATATACATCTCTGCTGTTATCAAGCCAGGTTAGACCGATTTCTTGATGCTACTCCAGTGTGATAACATCAAGATAAATATCCTTTCAAAACTGTGTTTGAATATGGAAACTTAATTTTACTTACTATTCACAGCCCATTTTTTAGACTTGGAAAATTTAGTTCCTAAAATTTCATTCTTTCAGTGCTAGAGGTTTGTCTTGATACATTACTTGTTTGTCTGCCCATTAGGCCCTTTCATCATCAGAATGCTTAGGACCAAAACATCCCTCATTTAACACTCCAAAGTGCACTGGATGTATGTAGGTTTTAGAGCACAGAGATAATTTGAACTTGTGAAACTGAAGCTGGATTTCCAAATAAGTTAAAAAGTTTAGTACAGTAATCCCCCTTTATCTGTGGGGGACACATTCTAAACCCCCAGTGGATGCCTGAAACTGAGAATACGTACTGAAGCATATATATATATATATAATATATGCCACATAATATATATGTATGCACTATGCTTTTTCCTATACATACATATCTATGTTTACTATACTTTTAGCTTTTCATTTAAAGAAGCACTTTATGCTTCTCTTTGCATATCCAAATTGCCAGAATCACTAAACTTGTGCTTTGGGGCCATTATTAATAAAACAATGGTTACTTGAACACAAGCACTGTGACACTAAACAGTCAATCTGATCAAACCTGGATGAACGCTAAGTGACTAATGGGTGGGAGGCACAAGCAGCCGGGATGAACTGCACAATGGGATGAGTCATGGGAGGAGAGCACAAGATTTTAATCGCATTACTCAGAATGGCTTGCAATCGAAAACTTATCAATTGTTTATTTCTGGAATTTTCCACTTAATTTTGGACTGAAGGTAACCGAAATTATGGAAAGCAAAAACTGCAAATCAGGAGGGATTACTGTAAAGAAGTGAGTCTGCCATTTAACTCTGTGGCTTTTTTTGATGACCTTTTTTTTTTTTTGATTTTTGAAGTAGTCTTATTTCCAAAACCAGTTTTTCTCTTTCTTTTCCTTCGTTCGTTCGTTCGTTCGTTCGTTCGTTCATTCGTTCGTTCATTCCTTCCTTCCTTCCTTCCTCCCTCCCTTCTTTCCTTCCCTTTCTTTTTTCGGAATTCTGCAGTTTGAATTCAGGGGTTTGTGCTTGTTATACACACTCTATCACTTAGCTACAACCCCAGCCCTTTTTTTCTTTCTGGTATGAGTGTTTATCACAACCTACACATACCATCAAACAATTTAGGCTCAGTTAATACTTTTCTAGCCTCCCTGTTGACTCTTCCAAGACCATCAAGCATCAAGCACTTTTGAAGAAACAAAATATAAATCTGTGTTTTAGCATATCTTTTTCTCCATTCTCATCCACAGGGTATTTCCAAATATTTCCAAGTTAGATCTCCCCTCCCCCATCGTACTAGAGTGTGAACAATGGACCTTGTGCATGGTAGGGCACTCTATCACTTGAAAACCATGCCCCCAGCCCTGTATTTCTTAATTATAGGACATTTTTCTTGTCCTATTTTTAAAAATATTAATTTCCAGCAGGCCAACATTTTAACATCTTTTCTATGGCCAGTTACAATGATAGCCACTTTGCAGACACATGTCTTAAGGAGATTGGTTATTCCATTTCATAAATTAAGCATCTCAAGTGCTTCTGCACATTGTAAGGACACTGGAAAGTGACCAAAAGCTTTTACTAGGTAAGAAAATCACATCACTCTAGCAAAATTGTATATAAGACATACAGTATAGACATACAGTATATTTAACTAGTAAACATCTTTTAATTTTCTTGGGTACAAAGTTTATAGACAGAATGAAAAATATTACAATATATATTTTTGCTCTGCTTGAAGATGAACATAAATGAGCAAATTCTAGTTATATTTGGACAAAATAGCAACAATATTTTGTTTATATTTTCTGGGTCTTATTAACACTTTCACAGAATCCAAGCACTAAGTTTGATGCTGGGTACCTGTGGCTCACACCTGTCATTGGGAGGTTGAGATCGGGAGGATCAAGGTTCAAGGCTAGCTCAGGCAAATAGTTCTTGAGACCCCCTCCATCTCCAAAATTACCAGAACAAAATGGAC